GCACAGCTTCCCCCTCCTCCCCAGCCATCCAGGCTGCCTGATCCAACTCTGCTGCTGTCCTCCCTCTGCCAGCATCTCTGATTCCCTGGATGACAGAGGTGAGCAGGATAACCCTGCTCTCCAGCCACGGGGGCTGCCTTGGCTCTGGCCCTGAAGGGGCTCACCTGAAGGATGAGGAGAAATCCAAATTGGGCCTGGATGTGCCCCAGATGGGCACCAGGGGTGACACGTGGGGTTTGGCCGTGGTGACCCTGGATTGATGATGAGCCTGATCCCACAGTGCTGAGCATGCACTATCCATCCTCAGGCTCATCTCTCCTGATCCATCCTCAGGCTCTTCTCTCCTGATCCATCCTATCTTTGCCTTGGCACATTCCCAAGCAGGCAGAAACCCCAGCCTGCCCGCAGCCCTCCTTGCTCCCCATCATCCTCCTCACCCGTTTTCCTATTCCCAGCATTTACCCTGCCGCACGTAGCCCTGGGGGAGCCAGAGGATTGTACACAGAGGGAGAAGTTATTTTTCCTTGACATAAACATCCAAGCCTTTCCTCGGCCCCTTCTCTTGAAACGTGGAGGTAGGACCTGGACTCATAACATCCGGCAGGAGGGGTTGGCCTTATCTGCCAGGAAACACTCAGCTCCGGACACATCCTCCCCTGCTCCCGGCACCCCAAGCAGCTCCCATTGGCAGTGCTGGGCAGGAAACCACTCAGCAGCTTGTCTCATTCCCTCCTCTGGAGAGACGGGAGGGAGGGTCTGATCCTGCCCTCCCCGCCGTGGGGTGCAGCAGGGATCTGAGTCAGGGTGGGGTGCGGGCAAAAAAAAGGGATGGAGGGGGAAGGTGAGCAAAAAGGGGCAGAAGGGGATCTAGGATGTGGGGATTTGGGGGATTGGCCGTGTTGAGGGTCTCTCTGGGTTCAATCACCGATTTGAAGGGTGAGCTCAGTCCAATTATCTCACTCCCTTCTCTCCCTCTACTTCCCTCACCTGGTTCTGCTTTGGAAAATCAGGGAAAATTGTTGTCTCCCAGCTGATTTTGTAGCAGGATCCAGATCCCTCAAATGGGGTAGGGACCCACTAAAGGCAGCACAAGCACTTGGTCCTGTTCAAATTCTGGGGAAGAGACAGGTCATGTCCCAGCACTGGTTGGAAAAAGGGTGGGAGGGAAGGAAGAATTATCTCTGTTTTACAGACAGGGAAACTGAGGCATGGAACATCCTCGTGGCTGTTTGTCACCGGGGCTCACCCCCGTCCAGTGGCACTGGGACAAACAGAGAGAGGACAGAGGAGTCACCACCTGCTCGAGGGATGCAAGGGAAATTGCCCAGGGCATGACACACAGGGCAGGCAGCTCCTGGCCAGCCCAAATTCCAGCTAACCAGGAAGGTGACCTCATCCCTGCTCCCTATGCCCGGCACCACGACCTGCACAGCCACGGGGCCGAGGACTGGCCAAGGCCACGGGACACCGGGGGCAGAGGGCTCACACCCTGCTCACCTCATGGCAAGGAGATACCCCTGTCCTGGCCCAAGCTGACACCCCCAAGCAGGAGCCCAAATGTGGTGTGAGGCTGCTTTATCCCTTCCTGCAGCCCTGATTTGATTTTCCTGCGGTTTCCCAGACTGGGGACAGCAGGCCACAAACCACAAGACTCCTCAGCATGCACAGAGACAGCCATGGGCTCCTCGATTTGGGATGGGGAAGGAGGAGACACATGTCCAGGACTGATGCAGAACAAGTCCTGCTTGGGGTGGAGACCCCCCTCAACATCCATAAACAACAATGGCCAGCAGTCTTTCGTATGGACTCCCACTTTCACAAGCAAAACCACTCCTTCCCACCTCTGCCAGCCACTTATTCTCCATCTGTTCCCTGCAGCAATGCCAGGCATCCCAAAAAATTGCTGTGGGTAGAGCGGATTGACCCATAGCATCTCATTTTCCATCCCCCCAGAGAAGAGGTGGTGCTCCTGAATTTCATCTCGGCTGCAGTGTCCTGGAGGTGGGAGCCGGCTGCTCCCGGCCTGGGCGTGTGCCCGGATCCGGCCGTGGCTCCCAGGGAGCCGCACCTCGCCTTGGCTGCGGCTCCCAACGCCCTCGGGGGGCCCCAGCTCCCGGTTGGGACCTGTAGCTGTTCCTGGCGTGCAGAGAGCACAGGGACAAGCTCCCACCTCTCCTCACGTGGCTCCGGGTTGAGCAAGTGGGGACAGGCTTGGCTGGCGGGGCTCTGCGTTCATCCGGGCACAATGGGCTCCTTGGGGATGGGGTGTGTGGAGGAACCCCTTTTCCTGGGGAAATCAAACTCTGGGAGCTGCTGGCAGCTCTCGGAGAGGGGTTTGTTTCCAGCAGCCCTGCATGGGATGAAAGCAAGGAGGGAAAAGGTTGATTCCATCGTTGCTTAGGGCGTGGGAATAAGAAGGATCAGTGGGAGCAGCCAATGTCCTGGAGAAAGGGTCAATGGGGTAAGAATGTGACATCCCAGATCAGGCTGGTGGCAATACCCAGAGCTCAATTTCTGGGGGTTGCTGGGACAGCTGAGCCTCTTCCCCAGGGCAGTTTCACTGTTCTCAGCTGCCTCTTGGGCCTGGGACACCACAGGGATTGCAGGGAGAGATGGAGAAGGGAAAAGCAGGACTTCTCCAGCCCCACTCTTGCTCCTGGCGTGGTCCCATGTGAGTCAGTGCTGCTGGGCAGAGAGGCCAAACAGGATCCTGGCACCTCCCTCCCTCCAGCTCCAAAATCCTTTTGGAAGAGTCACTTTCAGGCTGAGCCACCCCAGTCAGGGAGCCACCAGAATACCTGAGGTTGGCAGGGCACCCAGAGGCATCCATCCCTTTTCCCCTAAAAGGAAAGGCCAAGGGTGAGTTTGGATGCCTGAGAGATGGAAGAAGGAAGAGGCAGGATGGGAGAGCTGAATCCAGGGGATACAAGTGGGGGATAAAGGAGAACAGGACAGGGTTCTGTTGGTCATGTTGGTGCCTCCCCAAATATTCACACAGCCTCCACCTTCTGGGACCATGGGCTTTGTGGATCAGTGATGTCATTTATGGGAGACAAGGGACAGGATTGGGTTGGGTGGGGTTGGGTGACCTCTGAAGATCCCTCCCAGCCACCACACAGAGCACAAAGGGCACTAAGAAACGTGCTCCTCCACTTTTTGGGGCCAAGCAGGAGGACCCAGCCTGGGAGGACACTGCTTTGGGAAATGTTTACCCTGCCTTGGATCTCCAGAGGTCCCTTCCAGCCCTAACAACTCTGGGATTTTCTGTGCATGGCTTAACCTCAAGGATGGCAGGGGCAAAGCCTGATTTAATGTCTGGCAAGAGCAGGCTGTGATGTTTTCCATGGACAACAACATGGGTTAAGCTTTTCTCTCTGCTGGCCAGGCCTGAAGACCGTCACACAACATCACCTTCACATGCCTCCCCAAATTTGACCCCCACGCATTTCTGAGGCCTCATTCCCTCGGTCTGCACCTGAGATGAAGATTCATCTCAAGGTCCCCACACTGTGGAGCACCTTGAAAGGTGAATTACCCAAACTGTGAAAGAAAAGAGAACCTTAAATGTGACTAAAATCCACTCTCCAGGCACTGGCACTCACTCCATAAATTGGCAACATCATCTGTGCTCACCAAGACACCAAAGGCAAAGTTCTTGACTTCACTGTAATATGGAAACAGGATTACAAAGATCATATCTGAGAGATGGCAAAAGCAGGATCCAGGCCAGCACAGTGACCTGAGCCCTGAGATACTCCAGGAAAAGTGAGGGTAAGCACTCATCATGCCCCGAGTCTGTTTGTTAGAAAGCAATCCACAATTTGTAAAGATAACCACAGATCTTTGTTTTATTTATAAAAAAATGGAAGTAGAAAAATTTGGCTGAAAATACCAACAACAACGATGACAACAAAAATATAAAAAAATAGCACTTGCACGGGAAATGTTTCTGTTTTGAAAACTGTTGTCAATAGCGACAGCAATTTAAATCATCGAACAATCATCATATAAAAACATATTTATTTAAATTAAATATTTTATGCAAACTCGTATCTACACTCATTCAAAATGCATAGAGTCACACAAAAGAGATGGAATGTATTAGCTTAAAAACCAGTGAACTTTTGGGTTTTTTTTTTAAGTTTTCTTTGCAATTATTATTAATACATTTTGGGGTCTGAAACCAGGAAATCATAACCACGTTACTAACTAATCATTACCAAGTGCCATACAGTAAACACTAAGATTAATCATGTCATATAACTGATTTAAAATAAAGCTTCATCTTTATGGAAAGGAAGAGAACTCGAGCAATACAAAATCCGAGGTGGGGGGCGGGAGGAATAATGGAAGGAATAAATCAATGTACAGCTTTATTACAAGCAATAGAACGCCAGAGTTAGGAGAGGCATTGGGCACTGTGGCTCCAAACACGGAGCCTTCCCCTTCAAAGGATGTTTGACAAAAATAGTGTCTGCTACATCATTACCTCTTGGCCAAAATGTTCATCCCAGGACCTGCTCCCAGGGGTGGATGCCGGCCGGATCCTGCCTTTCTAAGCCGTGATCTTACCCCACTCCAGAGCAGGCTCAGCGCTCTCAGGGCTGGCTACCCCTCTCCTGGCTGGTGTCCCATCCCCTCTGGGGTGTCCCAAAGGAATGAAGCCCCCAGTCCATGCTTTGGGGCAGGGGATGGGGGCTTTAATCCCCATTGCAGTGGTCAGGCAGGTCAGGCTGGTCAGACAGCAACGCCACCACCAGAACCCAAACACAGCTCATGGACCTTCACCAAAATCTTCCCTTCTCCCATCCCTGCCTTCCCCCCTTCCTGGGGGAATTCAGACCTGACGTCCGTGGGGTGCTGCTGCATTCCTGACTCCAAAGCAGAGCTGGGGATGCCTCAAAATGAGGGGCAGCCTTCCTGCGCTCCCAGGAGAATCCCTGCTTTGGAAGAGGGACTTGGCCAAAGGGTTTTGGCATCGGGAAGTGCCCCCTGGCCACGGCTGGAACAGAGCAATCCAGGCTTTGCACGGTGCTGACCCAATAACCCAAATCCTTTACCTAGGGCACCGAGGAGACTCCAGGGCCCTGTGGTTCGGACTCGGTCACCCTGAGGGGCTGTGGGCGATGTCCCCAGGGAGCAACGCCTCGGAACAGTGTCGGGTCCTTCCTCGGCCGGTCCAGGCGGCCCCGGCTGGGCTCCTAAGAGACGCTGTAGTTATTGTAGTAGGTGGCCGTGGCATCGGCCAGGACGGAGATGAGGCTGTTCTCGGAGCTGTGGGAGCTGCCGGACACCGGGACGTGCCCGCTGGCCAAGGCCCCGCCGTGGTGGTCACCGTGGCCGGGGTTGTTGAGATACTGGTCAAACTCATTGCGGTCCATCTCCCCCAGCAGCTCCGCTTGGCTCAGCTGGTCCAAGGTGTCGAAGCCGTGGTGGTCGGGCGGCGGGGAGAGCTGGCCCAGGTGAGCATGGAGGCTGGGAGGGGGCAGGGACGGGAAGGCGGGTGTGTAGTAGCTGGGAGGAGGAGGAGGAGGAAGGGAAGGGCAGCTGGAGGCCGGGGGGATCATGCAGGTGGCCGGCTGTGGCATGGGGCTGAGCGGGTGGTGGCCGCATGGCAGAGAGCCGCCCGCGTACTCCGGGGAGAAGGCGGCACCGGCGAGGTGGGAGCGGTGATGCTCCTCGGGGCAGGGCGAGGAGAAGAAGCTCTGCTCGGGGTCTATGGCATCCAGAGGGGACATCTCCGGCGGGGTGGGCAGCCCGTAGGGGTAGGTGTCCACGCTGGCGCTGCTGCCGCTGCCTGGAGCCTCCCGGTACCCCCGCACAGCCGGCAGCCCCGGGCGGGGGGGGTACTCACCCGGGCCCTCTTTGTCCCCCCCGGCCCGGCTGCAGGTCCGCTTTTCCGGCACAGAGTTCTGGTCCCGGGTCAGGCTGCCCAGCAGAAAGCCGTGATCCACCCGCTTCCCGATGCGCTTGACCTGCTTCTTCCGACGGGGCCGGTACTTGTAGTTGGGATAATCTTGCATGTGCTTCACCCGCAGCCGCTCGGCCTCCTCCACGTAGGGACGCTTCTGCGACAGGCTCAGCGCCTTCCAGGACTTCCCTGAAACGGAGGACACGCTCCCTTAGCACCCGCAGCCTCCCAAGGGTGCCCAATATCCCACTTGACACACACAGAGGACACATCCCAAAAACCCCGCAGGGGGATGTGGCGGCAGCGGGTGGGAGAAGGGGGGAATTGAGGCTGCTGTGGGGTCTCTGACTCCCTTCATCCCAAGTGGCCACACAAGGTGGCTTTAGGGTTAGAAAATAAATCCAGGCAGATGAACTCTCCCAGCTCCATGGGCTGTGGAGAAGGGACAGCCAAGGCTGTGCCTGGCTGAGCAGAGGTCAGGACGTGCTGTCCTTTCAAGTGTCCCAGCTTGTGCCCTGCCAGGACTTGCACCAGGGCACAAGGAGACCTGGGCACTGTGACAGCTGGTCTGGAGGGTGGAGGGTGTCCCTGCCCATGGATTAGATAGTTTTTAAGGTCCCTTCCAAACCATTCCATGATTCTGTAATCCTATGACCTCGTGCCTCCCTGTTTGAGATAAAGTGCAGAGAAGCAGCATTGTGTGGGGGGCTTTTATCCCACAGTGAGGCTGTCCCAGGCTGCTCCTCAGGGTAAGTGGGAGAAATGAGGATACACATCAAAGCCTTTGATGCCTTCCCATGGCCTGAGACAGCAGAAATAACACTAATAAGCTGAGATGCTGCATGGCAAAGCAGCGAGGAGAAAACCCAAACCACCAAAGAAAACACCACAGAACTGTCCAGGGAAACACAAACTTTGGATAAGAGGTTGGGCAGTAAAGCTGTGTTGCAATTCGGGCAGCTCTTTCTCAGGCTGTCTGGGCTGATAATTTTGGTTTGTCCTCTTGGTTTCACATCAAAATGGGGATTGAGAGGAAGGGAGAAATAGTGGATGGGGAGTGGGAAACAAATATGTGCTTGAAATGGGTTGTGATCCCCCAAAAGTAACAGCAGAAATACACCCTCACACCCCAGCCATGTAATACTGGCACAAAGTGGCACAGCAAGGACAGGCCAGGGAAATTTGGGGGTCCCTCCTTGCACAGCAGGGCAGCACCGTCAGGGTTTGCAGCAGAGGGGTGGCAGGGTGCCTGTCCCCTGGGATGCAGGACACCATCAGGCTTCGCACCCTGAGGAGTGGCTGCACACCTGGAGTGTGGGGCAGTTCTGGGGTGAGCACCCCGTGGGTGACAGGGTGGGTGCGCGGTGTTGCTCCCGGGGTGCAGAACTCCATCAGGTATTGCAGCCCCAGGGTGCTGCACCTGGTCTGGCTTTGCACCCCAAAAACAGCCAGGAAGGTGTAGGTGTGCCTCCCTGCTGTGTGCCAGACCGGGTCCCCACCTGGGCAGGGTTGGCACCCCCGGGGATGGCCATCGGTGCTGGCATTCCCAATCCGGGGCGCTGGATCTGCACCCCGGGATGACCGGGTGGGTGCATGGTGCCCACCCCGGGGCACTGGATCCGAACGGGATTTGCACCCCAGGAATGGCCGGAGAGTGCCTGCATCCCCTCCCCAGTGCACTGAATCCGGACGGGGTTTTTTCACTCCAGGCACCGCAGGTGGGGGTGCCTGGGGACCAAGCCCGAAGCGCTGGATCCGAGCGCGGTGTGCATCCCACGCCCGGGTGGGCGCGTGGGTGATTCCCCCGGGCCACCGGATCCGGGCAGGATTTGCACCCCCGGGAATGCCCTGTTGGACTTATGGGTACCGAATCCGGACAAGGTTTTCACCCGCAGGGATCTCCGGTGGGTGCCCCTGGGCACTGAATCCCGACAGGATTTGCACCTGGATTGCCGGGTGGGTGCCCGGGTGCTCACCCCGGGACACCGGATCCGCGCAGGGTTTGCACCCCCGGGGATGCCCGGGTGGGTCCCCGACCTCCCCCCGCGCGTCGCCCCCCAGCCCCGCGCCCAGCGCGCTGCTCACCGAGCATCTTGCTGAGCTCCGCGTTGTGCAGGTCGGGGTTCTGCACCGCCAGCCGCTTCCTCTCGTCCTTCGCCCACACCATGAACGCGTTCATGGGCCGGCGGATGCGGCTCTCGGAGCCCTTCTCGCCCTGCGGCGCTCGGGGGGGTGGCCCTGGGGACAGCCCCTCGCCCGCGTCCCCCTCCAGCCGCTCCGGCCAGGGGAATGTGCTGAGCAGCGCAGCCATGGCCCCCCGGCCCCCCCGCCCCGCCGCGCTGCCCTCGGGGTCCCCGCGCAGTCCCAGCCTCCTGCCCGGCCTCTCCCGTATTTATGAGCTCCTTGGAAAAAGCCTCCTCCAATGACACCGAAGGGACTCGCTGCTCCTCCTTGTTTGCAAACTCCTCAGCCCCGGCCGGGATGGTGCTGGGAGAAAACTTCTCCCCACCCTCTGCCCGGCACCCCCACCCGGGGAAGTAGCACCCCCAACACCCCCCGTTCTCCTTCCCACTCCCCCCTCCCCCTCATTTATTATAATTTTTCCTTATTTTGCCGGCTGAAAGGGAGTGAGGAGAGAGCTGGAGATGTCCCGCCCCCAAACAGCCCCGCTGCCCTCCTGCACTCAGACACCTTCAAACTTTGAAGGCTGGGGGGTAACACAGAGAGAGGAGATAAGGCATTGAAAACTCGGAAAGGGAAATGGCACCGAAAGGAAAATCTCACTGGGGTGCAAAAGGTCCCTCCTCAGGCTTTGACAAGCTGCAGGAACCCTGTTTGCCAAGGGAAATCGAGGCACGGATCCCACAGGCAGGGACAGCTTTTCCCCACTTCTCCTGCTTTAACCGCCAGCCCAGGCTGTGCTTTGCCCACCCCGTGTGGGTTTTCACCCCAGATTTCCAGGTCCCTTTGTATGGGATGGAAACCAGGACACAATGAACCTGTTGGCGGGTGCTTGTCCAACCTGTTCGGACTCCTAAGGGAGCTTTTAGGGGAAAACAAGGCAGGGATGGGGCTGGGCACAGCTCAGAGAGGTTGAAACATCTCCAGTCGGTCCCCGCTGCCCGTCCCTGGCTACTGGGAAACAAAGGATCTTCTCTTTGCTGCTGCTTTTCAAGGAGTGCTGCCCCAACCCCAAAAAGGCTGGATGGGATGGAAGTCCCAAAGCCACAAAAAGGTGTTCACAAGGGTGGGAAAGTCATCCAAGCAGCATTCCTCCCACTAGGACAAAGGATCTCCAGGAAGGTGATGGCACCGAAAATCCCCGGCCGGCTGCCCTTTCCCGGCTCATCCCTGCAGCCCGCCCTGGGGAATGTACTTGGTGGATGGATTCCTGTATGATTTTGACCCGCGCACATGGGGCTGCAGCGGCTCCGCTTTGACTGGCCGTGGTTTTCCTCCCGGTGCTGCCAGAAAAGCAGCGGGACGGGGTGCGGGATGGGCGGCGCTCCCCGGGGCTGGCCGAGGCTGCCCCGCCTGACCCCAAGGCAGGGGGGAAAACCCCGGCGCGGATCCCAGGCCGGGGAGCTCGGGCAGGTTTCCCACGTGCCTGGGTGTTCCTATTGACTCTTGTCAGATTAGGAGTGATGGAGAGAGCTCATGTCAATGTGAGCCGGGCAGGATCCGCCTGGGCTTCCTGCTCTCTGCCTTCCCTCTGCACGGGAGCGCGATGGCTCTGGTTTCTTGTGGATTGCAGTGATTTTGGGCTCAGGAGAGCTGCAATCTGCCAACTTCGCTCGCAGCAGAAGCAGCAACTGCCCTCCTCAAGCTTTTCCCCGGGACCGAGCTAAAACCCTGCGGAAGCAACAACATTTTCCAAAGGAACTGATTAAATCTATTAAGCTATTTACAAGTGGGCTCCATCAGAGCTGCGTTATCTGGGAATACAACAGGAAGGCAACTTCTCTTCAATCCAAAAGGCGCAGGAGATTTCCTGGTCTCGGGACAGATTTATAAACCCTTTCCACACACACACACACACACACACACACACAGAGGAGCTGCCTTTTATCTGGGGTTTGAAGCCGGGCACGTTCCTGGAGACAGCTTGTTCTGTTTGTTCTGTCCCAGCAGCTCCAGATCTCTCCCAAAATCCTGTCTCACACCTTGAAGTGCTGGGATGGGGCATGGAAGGAGGATGCCAAACTCTCCACCCTGCCCTGCACAGGTCTCCCGGGTGCATTTTGCAGACTGCAGCTGCTGCAGAGGTTGGCAGTGAGAATTTGTGAAGAAAACCTGGAAAAAGCTTGATTTCTGTTTAGTTCCCTTTAGGAAGGGTGGAAGTGCCCTAAAAAAAAAAAGGCTGCCTGGGGTTACAAGGTTTTATTTTGAATAGGATGGTACTTTGGGTATGGTGAACATGCTGCATGGCTCACTGTTACTTTTTAACCCTCAGGATGCTCAGGACCTGGATATCATGAATATGAAAACACCTCTGTGGAGGCCCCAGAGGACAGGAATTTTTAGTAGTAGCAGCAGAATTTCTCTTCCTGGGAAAAGGAAAGAGATGGATGAATTCCAGTTGATGCCTTTTACAGGACTGCTTCCACCTTGGCCTGTGTTTCCACATTTTGCAGGATGGATGGATAGGTTTGAGAGAGGATAAAACTCTGAGCAAGGACAGGACCTGCACCCACCTCCTGCCTCTGTTGCTGAAGCCTGGAAGCTCTCAGAGCGCCTCTCTGGGTGTTCCTGATCCTCATTATTCCCTCCACATCCTGGGAATAACATTTGACCTCCCACAGATATCACCGGGGTCAACTCGTGGCTTTTCAGAATCTCCTGAGACACAATCTGGGGCTCCTGTGTGGTTACAGCACAAAGAAATCTAGGAGAATATTCCTCGTTCGGGTTTCCTCCCTTCCCAGGGCCCCCACACAGAATTTTAAGTGCAAACACTGCTACTATTATTAATAACCATTTTTTCCCCCCCCTTTCTCCCCCTCTCCTGCAGCACCTGGCATTCTGATGGCATTAGTAAGGAGGGTTTCATTCTGCACCCTGCCTAAAATGCTGGTCAAACCTGTCCTGTCGGAAGCTCCCACGTTACATAAAGGAGGCTGGGGCCATGTGAAAATGCCACCTCTTAATTACTACCGGATCGGGGTAATTAGTCTGGAAAAACCTCGGGATTACCTTTTTTTTTTTTTTTTTTTTTTTTTTTTTTTTTTTTTTTTTTTTTTTTTTTTTTTTTTTTTTTTTTTTTTTGTGCTCACCTTCCCCACTCTGCTGTGAGGCTTCACCTGTATCTGGGGCACAGGAAGCAGCAGAGCTCTCCCAGGGCTTTGGGAACAGGGAAATTACGGCGAAAAGCCGCGAGCGAAAATAGATGGAGCAGACAAAGGGGGGAAGAAAGCTTTGTTCTCCCCCATTTTCACGGATGGGGAACAGTGGCAACAACTCCCATGGGCCAGGCAGAAAATGAGTGGCTGAACCCTATATGGAACAACCACCTCTTTAAAAATATCCCTCTTTTTTGGTGGGGGGTGGATCCAACATCTGGAATTTTATTCCTGCAAAGGGAGGGTTTATTTTCACTCCCCTCTGCCCCCCACCTCACACCCCACCAACCTTCAGGGACATTAAAACATGTGAGAAAGTGCAAATCCTAAATTAGCTCAATATTCACATGTTCCTTAATTATTGATGAAACTCTTGGCTCCCAAGGGAAGTTTTTGCAGAGAGAGCTGGGGGTTCCCAGCAGAAGATTCCCTCAGTGCTGTAGTTCCCAACTCTGCCCACCACCCATCCTCCTTGATGCAACCAGGTTTTCCCCAGGGATTGGTGCCTGGACCATTTATTTTGTAGGTAAAAAACCCCAGAGATTTCCCATTATAAAAAAAAAAAAAAAAAAAAAAAGCAGAAAAGCTCCCCCCACTGCACCTTGAAATGCTAAATTTTTCAGCATGGTGCTGAATATTTCTGCTCTTACTACTTTTAAAATGCAGTTTAAAGGTTACAAAAATATATATTTTACTGCCTTTAGGTTAAAAGGAAGTAGGAAGAGTTTCCCCTCTTACACCTTTAAGTTTATGAAGATGGGCTAAGATAAGAAAAAAATGTATTTGTGTGATTCAGAAGCAGATTTTGACTTGCTGAGAAATGAAGCTTCAATTTGTTTTACGATATTCCCACTTCTGCCACCACAAATTATGTATTTGTACAGCATTTCCCAGTCCCACATCACTAAAATTTTGCTGATCCAGGACAAAATTGGTTTATCCCTGGATGGAACAGGTATGGAAACAAAAGGCTTGGTTATTGTCCCAAGTTCTCTGAGCTCGGATCCTTCCTGGGGGCTCCTGCCCGGGAACGAGGGGGAATTAGGCAAAGGATGGCTTTGAATGCCTGCAATCCTCACCTCAGATCCAACAGGATACGCTATTCCCAGATCTTTTTTCCAGCCAGGTGTGATGTTGGGTAGTGTTTCCAACAGATTTTGTGTGGTTCCCCTCTCTTCTTGGAGCTTCCTTCCTCTCCTTGGTGTTGGCAGGTTCGGAGGTTTTGTGACGTAACTTGTGCCTTTGGAAGGTGGATGCTGCAACAGCTTCAGTCTCGTGTGTTTAAACAGGAGAAAATTGGTGAATTATACTGAATTTTCCTTGCTGCGAGCTGAGGAGCTGGGGGCAGAGAGCACCAGGGCAGCTGAAAGGAGAACTGCAGCCATGGACACGATGCTGAGCTGTCCCCAAACACTTCACAGAGCCACAGAACGGTTTAGGATGGAAAATCCCTCAGAGATCATGGAATCCAACCATTCCCCAGCACTGCCAAGGCCACCTCTGACCCACATCCCCAAGTGCCAGGTGGCTTTGAAACCCCTGCAGGGATGGGGGCTCCTCCACTGCCCTGGGCAATCCCTTCCAATATTTGACCACCCTTTCCATGAAGAAATTCTTCTGATGTCCAACCTGAACCTCTCCAGGCACAGTTTGAGGCTGTTCCCTCTCATCCCGTCCCTGTTCCCTGGAGCAGAGCCTGACCCCCCGGCTGTCCCCTCCTGTCAGGAGTTGTGCAGAGCCACAAGGTCCCCCCTGAGCCTCCTTTTCTCCAGGCTGAGCCCCTTTCCAGCTCCCTCAGCCCCTCCTGGTGCTCCAGCCCCTTCCCAGCTCTGTTCCCTTCCCTGGACATGCTCCAGCTCCTTCAACTCACAAAGTCACAAAGCAGCTGCATCCCAATGGACTCAAATTCATTCAACCACAAGCAGAGGTGGTTCTGAAATCTTTAATGGTGTTTTGCATTTATGCTTTAAAAAAACCCTGGTTGTTACCAAGGGGTACGTGGGGACATGGGTCAATGGTGGCCTTGGCAGTGCTGAGGGAATGGTTGGACTCAATGGTCTTAGAAGGCTTTTCCAACCTTAATGATTCCGTGATTCTACAATTCTACCTCTGCTTTACACTGGCTGGAACATCTTGGGAGGAAATTCAAGGAATTCTGCCTTTACCACATGTCAGGGCTGTCACTTGAGGTGCTCTGGTGCCATCTCCCATCCCTGGCTCCAAGGAAAGCTCCACAGTCAGACAAAACTCACACGGATTTAGGTCCAACAATGGCACCAGGACTATTTTTCCATGGTCTCTACTTCCCAGGGTAGTTTGGTGGCTGCAGGTGTTTACAAGCACAATTCAACCTCTGTTATTGCTGCTCTAACATTGCACTTGCCAATCATGTTCTTGGCCGTGGATCCCGCAGCGAATTCTGAGCCTCAAAGCCAACAACAGCCCTATCCCTGAAAGAATGGAACAGCTCAGGAGAAACCAGTGTTGGAATGTTCCCAAAGCAAAAAGGAAAATTTCCTTCAGTCACTGCTGACCTGGGGTTACCAAAACTGAAAACATTTTAATATCTGTGCTGCACGTGCCTCGTTCCCCGTTGGGGAGCGACAGCAGAGTGGGGACTCTCATTTTCCTTGGTGCCCAGGTAATTTCACTGGGAGCCATCTCATTCTGTGAGTACAATGGATGAATTTATAACAAAAGGCCTCGGAGTTTGAAAGTCTGATTTTCGCGGAAATGAAACCAAGTCGTTCCTTTGTGCTCACATTCTGCTAATTCCACCATCTGGGCACTGACGTAATTCTTTTTCTTGTGCTTTCTAAAAAAGGCCTTCTTGCCAAACCCAGAGTTGGGTTAAAACAGAACTCAAAACCCACTAGAAGCAAACAAACAAAAAATATATATGTAATTTATTACTCTGAGACATGTTTCTCTTGTTCCAATCATCCATTTCACTGGACAGTATCTGGTAAGAAGAGCTTTTCACTGAGTAATGTTGACCACAAACACAGAGCAGAGCAGTTAAATCAATTGTTTCTGTCAAATACAAGCAATTTATGATTTATGATTATTTATTTATTATGAGTTTCCCCTCCTACAACCACATGCGGAGCTTGGGGCACATTAAAATTCCACATTTCCCAGGATAAAGTGCTGTGTATTTATTGCAGAAATAGAGAATCTTCCATTGGTAGCTGATACTTAGGTCTGAGCCAGATTTAAGTCTTGGGTATCCTGAATTTAACAGGAGCAACAGTACAAATTTAAAGGTTTATTCCTGGTTTTATTCTTCCTGTAACTGACACTGGAATGTGGCCAAGCACCCACAAGAATCGGCACACAGAAACACATGAAAATTCACAGAGGGAACAAACAAACAAGCCCAGCATTATTTGGAGAAAGAAATCTTATTCCTTGAGTAGCACCTTTTTAAACTGAAATCCCAGAGAGGCTGTAAAATTTAGTTGGCTTAAGAGTTAAAAAATAATTGGAAACAATGAGGCATTTGGAATCTAATAACAAAAATTCCAACTTGTGGTGAGCTAGAAATCAGGAGGGATGCTTCAGTTTAACATAAAACATTATTTTGCTGTCTTCTTTCACTGAGAAGATGATTTTTTCACCTCAAGCATAGAGTTTCTTCCCAGTTTGACAATAACTGATGGTATGTGGTGGTATTTCACTTAAGGAAGCCAGGGACAAGCAGATTATGGTGAATAATAATTGTACAGCCTGAAAAGGAGCTGCAACAAGGGTTAACACCCTGGCACGTGAAATCCAGGGAAAGGCATCTTGTTCTCCTATACAAGAAGTGAAACTTCATTTTGCTGCAGTGAATGAGCATATCCTGAAGGCACAGGAAAAAAAAAGGTGCTTTGGAAACCAAAAGATCTTAAAAAGAGGAGTTGAGCTGCAACCAAACCATCCATGTGGTCTGGGTGCTGCAGATGGAGCTTCCTCCACTGCACAATAAAGGCAGCTTAAGGAAATTTTTTTCCCTGTTAACATCTGCATCTTGACAATGTTCCTCAGACCATGTTAAGCAACTCCACTGAGCTGAGACAATATAAAAATGTACCCATTTTCTTCAGCAGAGCAGCCAATGGGATGTTTTAGATTTACACTGATGAAACCCAGCCAGGCCTGGATGAAATGAGCAGCTCATGGATTTGGATTCTGCATTCTGCCAGGATAACTGGCTGGTGTCCAGGGTTGTGCTGTCAGTTTGGTGTGGCCAAAGAAGCATCAGAGCAGGACACCAGGAAGGGGAATCCTTCTTCCCATTCCACCACTTCCAAGCTCACCTGTCTCTTCTGACAGCTCTGAGTAACATTAAAATGCCAAAATTCATGCTGAATGTTTCAGATCTCCCACAAAACTGCTTGTGGCACTGCCCAGTTCCAGCATTCCTTATTTCCAGGCTTACAATGAGAAACAAGCTCTAATTTGGTTATAAATCCACACGGCAAGTTTTCAATGTGTGAATGGCAACAGCAATCTGACTGTGCTTTTAAAATCTACTGGTGTCCCAGTTTCAGGAAAAAACCTTGCTCTATCCAAGGCAGATATTTCTGGTTTCCAGAGGTACCAGTGAAGAGATCCTGAGTATGGCATGGAAATCAAAGATTTAGGTATGGTTAATAAATGATAAGGTAAATACACATTTCCTTTAGCTTTGGTGCAAAGTTACAACTGTTTGACAATGGCTTGGAGGCACAGGGAGGTCTTTTTATTTCACCCTTAAGAGCTGACACTTAGGAGCAAACTTTTAATCAGAGTAAGCTTTCTGGGAAGAAATAACATTCATTTTATATGTAAAAAGAGATTAATGTAAAAATTAGACACCACTTTGCAAAAATCAGTGAGAAAACACAGCTTTGCAAACCCCCTCCTGCTTCCAGAAGCAGAGCAGGCTCTCACAAGTAAAAACAATTTTAATAAAAAGGCAGTACTAGGGTGATTTTAATTTTTTTTTCCCCTAGATTGAGAAAAACACAGTCAGGTGAAGCAGCAGAAAGTATCCTCTGCCTTTCACAGTCCTGATGTGTTGATCCTCCCTTTTGAACGTGGCACTGAAGCTCCTGTTGGCCCATCACCACGTTTTCCCTCGGGAGAGCTGGGTTTAGATCCAGTCTGAGTTTAGATCCAGGCTGTGTTTAGATCCAGCCTGTCCCAGCTGGAGCAGTGTCCAAGCCTGGATTGGTGCTGCACTTACACAGAGCCTCCTGTAACACAGACTCACCCCTGAGCCTGAAAGGGTTACATGTTCTTGCAGTGCTTCTTTTTCTTTCTGGGTGCTCCTTCCCCACACTCCCTTGTCTCCTCTTTTTGCTTTTTGTGCTTCTTCTTGTGGCGTTTCTTCTGCCTTTCCTCCTGCTCCTCTGTGCTGAGTTCCTCCCCCTCAGACATTCCCACAGAAATTTCTCCATGGCCTGTATTTTCATCACAACTGATGTTTTCTCCTTCATTCTCCTCTTTATGTTTCCTCTTTTTTTTCCTTTTGCGACATTCACTTAGTGGATCATCCAGTACTTTTCCATTCAAGCTCCCTGTCTTAGGCTTTTTCCCTAATTTTTCACAGTCCTCTGTCCTCTCTGCTTCATCGTCTCTCTTCTGTTTCTTCTTTTTCTTTTTGACTTTGGTTTCCAGCTCTTCTGAAAGCTCCACAGCTTCATCAGCTGTTGGGCTGGAATGATCCAGATTTGGTTCTGTTTCCTGCTGGGAACCTTTCAGCTTTGCCAGGCGCTTGGCAAAATACTCCTGAACAGTGAGAGCACTCTTCACTGTGTTGGAAGCATCTCCAGGGCTGGAGAGCCATTTGTTCCCCTCCTTCTCTTCCTGGGAGTCAGGATCAGCAATATCCTCCTGCAAGGGAACAAAGAGGAGCAGGAGTGAGTCAGGAGTCATGGCTTTAAACATAATGCTGGCTTTTTGTTTGCTAATAAGGAAAATACTGAAAAGCAACGTGGTGCTTTGAAAATTAACTGTGAAAGGACGGATTTGGGTGGAAGTGAGGCAGCCCTTAATGTGAAAGATGCTGTAGGTTTAGGGAAAAGAGGTGGAAGGAGGGAAGGCAGCAAGGCAACACAAACCAAGACAATTTTCAGTTGCTTTGAGTCCCTTAGTTTACCTATTCCTACATAACTCATGTCTACTGCCATACTTGGTGCCTTACACTGACTTTGCAAAGCACATGTCTCTGCAAGACATAAACCAGCATGAAAAACGATCCACTACAATTCATTAGCCTGTGGCACAAAGGAAATCTCATGCCTGGAATAGCTCTTCAGCAAAGAACTTGTAATCCAGGGAACAATCCAGCATTGAGGCATCTCTTCCATCTTATCTGATCTTTGGAAATGTTTGTTTCGGAGCTGCTCTGCTGTCAGGGTGTCCCAGATGTTGTTATTTAAACAGGCTCCATTTGATCACACGTTATCAGATGGCACAAACAACACCACAGGTTACATCTTACAAGGTTTCTGCAGACATGAAATAAAGAGCTGCTCATCTCCAGCTGCAGGTGAAGAGTCTCCTTACTAAAATGGAAATATCAAACTAAGAAATATCAGACTACAAGCAAAGTACAGCTCTGGAGCTGGATGTTATGGATGGCACGAAGACAATTGACTGAGAAAGCAAGAAATGCCACAAGATGGAAATGTATAATTTGTTAAATTATCTGACATTTACAAAAGAAACAAACCAGAAAGGCAGCTGAAATTAAGTCTTGTTCACATACATACCAAAGCACTCAAAACAAAGCCTTTGTGGTATTGCCTTTTGCTTAGCAAAAGTCACAAATGACTCTTGGAAATGTCCGAGATTTTCACAGAAATCATGGAATCATTCAGGTTAGAAAAGAGCTCCATGTCATCGAGTCCAATCTGTGACTGGCACCTTGTCACCAGCCCAGAGCACTGAGTGCCACGTCCAGTCACCCCCTGGACACCTCCAGGGGTGGGGATTCCAAACCTCCCTGGGCAGCCCCTCCAATGTCTGACCACCCTTCCAGGGAAGAAATTCCTCCTGATGTCCAACCTGAACCTCTCCTGGCACAGTTTGAGGCTGTTCCCTCCCATCCTGTCCCTGTTCCCTGGGAGCAGAGCCCGACCCTCCCCTGGCTGTCCCCTCCTGTCAGGAGTTGTGCAGGGCTACAAGGTCCCCCCTGAGCCTCCTTTTCTCCAGGCTGAGCCCCCTTCCAGCTCCCTCAGCTCATTAATTGTTTTTTTATAGCCTTGCCCACACCACAGGGAACAGGTACCCCCTCTGGATGGGAAAAGCTGGGAAGGATGGTGTAGAATCCCTACAACCCTTTCCTGAAGGAAAGAGGATCAACAGGGATTACAGTCAGAGAAAATTCCTTGATTTTCCATTCATAAATGCACAGGTGGGTAAGAGCATCCCTCTTACCCTCTGCCCACACATCCTGAATCCTGCCTGCCCAAACCAGGGCAGTCAGATTTCACAGCCACTTTCACTGCCATAACCTGATACTCAGGGAAGGCCAGCAGAGAGCTGGGAGATAAAAGCCCACTTATCTCAACACTCTATAGTTATTGTGTGATGCTGCAGATAAGGGACCTGGCTCTCTTGAGGGCATCGTTAAACTTGCTGGCTGAAGCAGGGTCTGTTAGGGTTTGTGAGTAAGGTTTTCCAGGTCTGGCTCCTTATGCATCCATAACCTTTACTCCCATGAGCAGGAATGCAAAAATTGGTGTCATTAGTGATGCATTACGAGTGGTGATTTCCTCATCCATCTATTTCAAGAGAGCTATTCCAGTGGAACGAAAGTAAGGCTGCACTTGAGATTCCAGTGATGTTTGTGTGGGCACTTATCAAAATTAGGGACTTTTCTTGTAGTGATATGTTGTAGTGTTCCTGAAGAGTTATGAAGTAACTGAAACTATTTGACTTCTGGCAAAGAAGCCTGAAAAGGGATGTGGAACACGGGAAAAAACAGGATGTATCCACACACGTCTCCTCACAGGTTACATTTGAAAGGGGGACCTGCAGCAGAAGTTTACAAGAGAGAATTCCCAAGAGAAATGGGTTGAGCTATATTTATACTAAACCTGTTTTTAATAAGACCTAACCCAACAAGCAGAGAATCCCATGTCATCACAGGATCATTTAGGTTGGAAAACAGCTCCAACACCATCAAGTCCATCCTGTGACCATCCTTGTCACCCAGCACAAAGCACTGAGTGCCATGTACAGGCTTTCCTTGGACACTCCAGGGATGGGGACTTCAAACCTCCCTGGGCAGCCCCTTCAAATGTTTAATGACTCTTTCCATGAAGAAATTCCTCCTGATGTCCAACCTGAATCTCCCCTGGTGCAACTTGAGGCTCTTTCCTCTCCTCCTGTCCCTGTTCCCTGGGAGCAGAGCCCAAATCCCCTGGCTGTCCCCTCCTGTCAGGAGTTGTGCAGAGCCACAAGGTCCCCCCTAAACCTCCTTTTCTCCAGGCTGAGCCCCTTTCCAGCTCCCTCAGCCCCTCCTGGTGCTCCAGCCCCTTCCCCAGCTCCATTCCCTTCCCTGGACATGCTCCAGCCCCTCCAGATCTCTTTTGTTGGGAGAGTCCCAGAAGTGTCCCCAGGACTGGAGGTGCCCCAGCAGTGCCAGCACAGAGGGACAATCGCTTCCCTGGCCCTGCTGAAGCCCAGGCAAACAGGGTCATTTTCCTTCCCCCCACAGCAGGATTTTGACACCCTGGATTGCAAAAGGACAAACAGACTCCCAGGTTTTCAGCCAGAACTGTTTCCCTCCCCACCCCAATGTGTAAAACACACTTGGGCTCAGAGCACCCGTTACCCCCTGGCCAACCAGGAAAGGATTTTCTCATTGCCTTGGTGACTTCAAGTCCTGACAACTTAATTACTGTAATTGAAGGCAAATATTACTTGAACTCTACACATTTCTTTCTTTTCATGAAGTACATTAGGCATAAAAACAAATGTTCCTTTGGTTAAGCAGAGGAGTTCCAAAGGTATGTACGAGTTCAGAAAATAAGAACCTTGCTCAGAAACCCCTTTATTGGTAAGAATTTTAATAACCATGGGCCACTGAGCACAGAACTAACAGGGCATGAAGACAAGCAAAGAGGTGCCAACCCTAGAAAACCTCTGAGTTTAGGAAAAGCTTATACAAAACCATAAATCACCTGGAAGGGCTGTTAAATGCCAAGGTATTCCTGCTTCTGTGGTTTACCTGTCCCAGCAGCCATGGGAACACTGCTGAACTCTAATCAAGGGTTTTCTCCAACCCCTCACAGTTTATGCAATTCCTCCCCTGCTTGACAGAGAAAAATATCGAAGAAAAATAAGGCAGATATCCCTAAAAGGGACTGTGCTGCTGAAGCTTCTGAAAGACAAAATTTTCACCAGATGAAAGACAGAAAGAAATATTCTTGTTCCAGAGAACTGATGATCAGGTAAAAGGGAAAATAGCAATTGAGTGGAACTGAAAAGAGCAATTGAGGGAAAACTGAAGACTGGGCTTTGGAAAAGATGTTTACCCATGCCATGAATTCCAAAATTACCCACAATGTTATGCTGAGGAGATGAAGTTACAAGGAATTGGGAATATGGAATTGGTAGGATGGTCCCAAGCAAAACAAAAGGACTGCTTGAAACATGGTGTTAGATGTGGAATGAGTAAGAGGAAACAATAGGAAAATTCAAGGAGAGGTTGGGAAGTGCACAGGAAGAGATGAAGGTCAATTACAGGCAGAAGTCCCCTGTAAATATCATCTGTTTATGTAATTAGTGAAATGTATGGAAAATAATCTAAAGGACATAAAGCACTCCATGTACCACCGTGTTTTTCTCTGCTTTTCTTTGGCTGCTGATTAAATCATTAAGGCAGTACACTAAACTTAGAGGGAAATCCTGGTTCCCTTGAATCCTTCAGGATCTGGATTGCATCTCCAGGGCATCCCACTCTCAGAGCACCTTTCAGGTACTCAGTGAAAGGAAAAAACCGGAGATTATGATCAATTATCAAAGGAATTCACATCAGTGAAAACAAGAAGAGAAGAAGCCTAAAGGGAGAAGGATTTAGACACATTGTGAAATCAATCTGGTCTAGTGGAAGGTGTCCCTGCCCATGGCAGAGGTGGGAGTGGGATGAGCTTTAAGGTCTGTTCCAACCCAAACCATTCTAAGATTATTATAAGTAATAGTCAAAAATAAGAACTGCACCTGCATGTTACCCTAGGAGGAAAAGTGAGATAGAACCCATGTGCAAAGCAAAGGGTGCTGGCAACATACAGGAGCAAGAGAAACAGCGTGGATTAATTCAGAGAAGTTTCCCTCCCCTTCAGAATGCAAGTATTTCCTTTTTAGCACTTAAAAATCTTAAAACAGGGGAATAAAAGAATCTCTTCTACCATCTCTGTTTGCTCATATGAACTACTATTACTTAACCCCAGTTATTTCACATGACTTTGCTTTGTTGGTACTAATTCACAATGATTTTGTGAAATCTTGTTCACAAAAATGACACAAAAGGTGAAGTCCAGAAGGGATGAGCAAAAAACCAGAATAAAGCTGAACTATTTCAATAGGCTCTCACTTAAATGACAGAAAGTGGGCTGGATGAAGCACATGGAGCCTGAGTTCCACGGAGAACACAGGATCACTCTTAGCTTTAAAATGCAGCCACCGCTGTTCTGCCTTTCTTACCAACTTCTTTTATGAGAAAGTGGAACAATAAGATTAAAATAATCCTGTTCTGTTCCTGCTGCTTCAGATCCTCACTGAGAGGCTGGTAGGACCCCCATGCAATGCACAAAACTTGAGAGGCAAGAGCTGAGGGCACCCCTGTATCTTTCCATCCCAGGAATGGCTGCAGATAATTCCTG